ACATTAGACAAAGTCCATGATAAAAACTCTCAACAAAATAGGAATAGAAGTTAAATTCCTCAATATAATTAAGGGCATTTATACAAAGCCAACAGCCAATATCATCTTAAACGGAGAGAGTTTGAAAGCATTCCCCTTGAGAACCAGAATCAGACAAGGATGCCCTTTATCACCACTTTTATTCAACATTGTGCTAGAGGTCGTAGCCAGAGCAATTAGGCTAGAAAAAGGAATAAATGGCATCCAAATTGGTAGGAAAGAACTCAAAGTATCTCTATTTGCAGATGATATGATGTTATGCAAAGAACACCCAAAAGAATCCATAAGGAAACTACTGGAACTAATAGAAGATTTCAGGAAAGTTTCAAGATACAAGATAAACATACAAAAATCAGTTGGCAGCATGTGTGTTACTGTTACATGAGAAACTATCTGTTCTGTACGCCTTCACCTGAAGTACAATAAAATATTAAAAAAAAAAAAAAATCAGTTGGATTCTTTTACACCAACAAAGAGAACCTCGAAGAGGAAATCACTAAATCAATACCATTTACAGTAGCCCCCAAGAAGATAAAATACTTTAGGAATAGATCTAACCAGAGATCTAAAAGACCTATACAGTGAAAACTATAAGACACTAATGCAAGAAACCAAAAGAGACCTGTATAAGTGGAAAAACATACTTTGCTCATGGATAGGAAGAGTTAACATTGCAAAAATGTCAATTCTACCCCAAACGATTTACAGATGCAATGCAATCCCGATCCAAATTCCAACAGCATTTTTTATTGAGATGGAGAAACAAATCACCAACTTCATATGGGACGGGACGAGTCCCCGGATAAGTAAAGCATTACTCTAGAAGAAGAACAAAGTGGGAAGCCTCACACTACCTGATTTTAGATCCTATTATACCACCACAGTAGTCAGCCTGGCTCTGGTACAACAAATTATACAGCCTGGTACTGGTACAACAGCAGATACATAGACCAATGGAACAGAATTGAGAATTCAGACATAAATTCATCCACCTATGAGCAGCTGATATTTGACAAAGGCCCAAAATCCGTTAATTGGGGAAAAGACAGTCTGTTTAACAAATGCTACTGGCATAACTGGATATCCATCTGCAAAAAACTGAAACAAGACCCATACCTCACACCATGCACAAAAACTAACTCAAATGGATCAAATACTTAAATATAAAATCAAAAACGATAGGGATCATGGAATAAAAAATAGGGACAATGCTAGGAGCCCTAATACATGGCATAAACACAATATGAACCATAAGTAACAATGCACAAGCACCAGAAGACAGACTAGATAACTGGAAGCTCCTAAAAATCAAACATTTATGCTCATCAAAAGACTTCACCAAAAGAGTCAAAAGACAACCTACAAACTGGGAAAAAAGTTTTGGCTATGAAATCTGACCAGTGTCTAATCTCTAAAATCTACAAGATACTGCAAAACCTCAACAAAAAGACAAATAACCCACTTAAAAAATGGGCAAAGGATATGAACAGGCCCTTCACCATAGAAGATACTCAGGCGGCTAAGAGACACATGAAGAAATGCTCACAATCATTAGCCATTAGAGAAATGCAGATCAAAACTACAATGAGATATCATCTCAACCCAATAAGGCTAGCATTAATCCAAAAAACACAAAATCACAAATGTTGGCGAGGTTGTGGAGAGACTAGAACACTTATACACTGTTGGTGAGAATGTAAAGTGGTAAAACCACTTTGGAAATCAATTTGGCGCTTTCTTAAAAAGCTAGAAACAGAAGTACCATACAATCCAGCTATCCCACTCCTTGGAATACATCCTAGAGAAATAAGAGCTGTCACACGAATAGATTGCAGCACTGTTCACAATAGCAAAAAGATGGAAACAACCTAGGCACCCATCAATGGTTGAATGGATTAGCAAATAATGGTATATCCACACAATGGAATACTACGCAACGATCAAGAACAATGTTGAAGCCGTGAAACATAACATGGAGAAATCCGAAGGGCATTATGCTGAGTGAATTTAGTCAGTCACAGAAGGACAAATATTG